CAGGGAACCTACATCAACCATTCTAAGATTGATCCAGCGACGATGATTCCCCATCTTTCCAATTCCACATTGAGTGCGGAGGAACAGCGGAGGCAACTCGATTTGTTGCAACAGCTGAATACAGCACATATGAAAACCCGCGGAGGGAGATCAATTCTCGATGCCCGCAGCCAGGCAATCGAAACAGCTTATCGTATACAGTTTCAAGGGAGTGAAGCATTCGACCTCAATCGCGAGTCCAAGGAAACTCGCTCAGCGTATGGATCGGGCCACTTTGCGAATGGATGTCTGCTGGCCCGCAGACTGGTTGAACGTGGCGTTCGATTCGTGCAAGTCTATTATGGCAATGGTCAACCGTGGGATACGCATTCCAAACATAATGAAACCGTTCCGAAACTCTGTCAAAATATTGATCAACCGATTGCCTCCCTACTCAAGGATTTGAAGCAGAGAGGATTATTGGATGAGACGCTCGTGGTCTGGGGAGGGGAATTCGGTCGTACACCGACTTCAGAAAATGGCAACGGTCGTGATCACAACCATCATGGATTTACGATGTGGCTCGCTGGAGGTGGCGTCAAAGGAGGAATGACCTATGGAGAAACGGACGAATTCGGTTTTAAGGCGGAAGTTGACAAAGTACACGTCCATGACTTGCATGCCACTATTCTGCACTTGCTGGGACTCGATCATGAACGTCTGACTTTCCGACACGCAGGACGCGATTACCGTTTGACCGATGTCTATGGTCAAGTCGTTCGTGAGATACTTTCGTAATGCCTTGCGACAAACTTTCGTGCATCTCATTTCGAAATGGTGTTGACATTCTGCCAGGCATGCCTAGGTCACATGGAAATGATTTTTTCAACAGAATAGAAACTACTCACGGCAAAGGATTCAGAAATGCCTCACATTTCCGTCAGTTACCCTGTCAACGCTGATACCCCCGTTTCGGATTTGCCGTTCAGCCCTTGCGTAGTCGTAGGCAATCTGGTTTTTGTTTCAGGACAAGCATCCGTTGACCAACAAGGCAAGATCGTACCTGACAGCTTTGAGGGAGAATTTCGCCGATCCATCGAGAATGTGAGAGCAGTTCTCAAAACCGCCGGTTGCGATTTGTCAGACATTATTCAAACCAGGAATTACGTTCGTGATGACGCTGACCTGCCTGAGTACAATCGGCTCTACTCTGAATACTTTCATGCTCCCAGACCTGCAAGAACGACACTGACCAACTGTCTCCCAGAAACCCTGCGCTACGAAGTAGAGTGCATCGCTGTATTGCCTGAGAAGTAAAGTGAATCTATCCGCAGTGCTGTCTCTGATCGTATGTTTTGAGTGGTGTTCGAAGTAACCTGGTCTCACTCCTTACAGAGAACTCAGCCCTCAAATTGACTTGAAGACGTCCGCAGTCACCATTCTTGAATCGCATCTGCTTCGAGCAATGGGCATTGCACAGACGCATTCATGCGGTTGACCGCTTTCGCATCTTTAAAGCCTGACCCAGAGACGATGCAGACAACAATTGCATCAGACGCGATCTCCCGTTGATTGAAAGCTTTCAAGGCACCGGCGAGCGCCACGGCCCCGGCAGGCTCGGTGAAGATCCCTTCTTTGCGGGCGAGACGACTCTGGGTGTCCCATACTTCTTGATCCGTCACAAGGTGACCGGTCCCACCCGTGGCCCGGCATTCTTGGACAGCCAGGTGACCATCAACAACACTGGCCACCTGGAGGCCACTCACTTTTGTCGTACAATTGACTTCCTGTGCAGCATCACGTCCTTCACGGAGAGGGCCCGCTATTGTGTTATTCCCTTCTGGCTGAACACATTCCACGGCTGGCAGATTCACCAACTGTTGATGGTGCTTTAATTGCTGAAAGCCGCGTGCCAAGGCAACACAAGCCCCTCCTCCTCCAGCAGGACAGAAGACGTGATCAATCCCCGCAGGGACCTGCTCTGCAAGTTCATATGCCATGGTTTGTACACCAGACATTCCCACTGGACTGTATGTGAACGCACTGATCTGAAGTGCGGTGTCGGCTCGATCTCCCTGTTTCTTCAGTAAGTCAAAGACTCGTTGCGTTGCCACAGGATCGGTGCCGAAACCCTTAAACCTCGCGATATGGGCTCCATATGCCATCATCTGCTGTAATTTATCCAAGGGAGCCCCTTCGACAATGGCAATGCGACAATCGATCTCTGCCGCAGCACAATAGGCAGCGAGTGCTGCTCCAGTATTCCCGCTCGAAGTGGCCAGACAACGTTTCTTTCCTTCGGCCAACATATGAGAAACTGCCATAAAGCCGAAGCGATCTTTGTACGATCCAGTGGCGTTGCCATGCTCCAACTTGAAGTACAAATTCTCCAGCCCCACTTCTGGTCCGATCTGGCGAGAACGCACGAGTGGAGTGTTCCCTTCGCCCAGAGTGATTTGTGCCGACTCAAGAATTGGAGGCAAGAGTTCTGCCCAGCGCCAGATGCTCATGTTCTTTTCTTCTCCCTTGTTTGCATTCAATTGGTTGAGAGCTTGCTTATGAATGTTTGTTGGTATTCCAGCTTTCACGATTCCGTTTCCCAGTCAGCTTTGCTGAGGGTAAATGATATCTTGTTCGAATGGAAAAAGCGGTCGCCGACGATGATGGTAGGCCATTTGTTGCATGTCAGCACAAGTCGAACCACGTGTATTCACACGAATGAAGCGATCACAGACATCTCGATACGCTGCAATGGGGGCATTGACTCCTTTCGCAACCAGAATGCGATAGTGGTAAGGATCAATTCCGCAGCCAATTAGTTGTTGTAAGCTGAACGGGACCATGCGGCGAGACGTCAGCATGAGTGTCAGACCTGAATCGGTTTCACAAACAGCTGTTTCGCCCTGGTCAAATTCACTGAAGCCACCATGACGAGGTTGGGGTTCAGAGAATTTCCCATCACAGAGATGCTTGACTGTCATCTCCAGTTCTAACGGTTCTCCATGTAATTGGTCTGTTTTTCCACCGACACGTAATCGGACCCGCTCACCAACTCCAGCCTGTTTACAGGCTTGCACGGCTTCAATGTCGAAGAGACATCCAAAAGAAGGGCCAATTTTCTGCTCATGGATCGCTGTCAGTAGATCCGTTCCATCAGCAGCAGATCCACCTCCAACATTGTCTCCCATATCCAACAGGCAAAAACGATCTGTTGAATTACTACACATCGTGAGTGCTTCATCAATGGAGGTGAATCTTCCCTCTAAACCATGCCGCATCGACCACATCGTGGCAGCCAGTTCATTCGCTGCCTGTTGTGCAAGTTGTTGATCACCATTGGCGATGGTAATCACTGACGCCCCCATTTCAGCAACGTCTGCATATGGGAAGCCTAACAGAATGCTATTCGACAGGAGCTGACGATGCGTCAGCTGTTCGTCTGCCCTCTGATAGAGAGGAGAGAGATGGTCCTCATTGGTGCATTGTCGATCGATGCTGATTGCCAGCGGAGGAAAGGCAGCTACCATCGCCGGTTCGATCTCACCACGTACTGTTCGGATCATCAAACTCGCCGCCTCCAGACCTCTTGCATGTTGATCCAAGTGTGGATTTGTTCGATAAGCGACGAGTGCATTGCAAGCTTTGACCATCTGTTGAGATAAGTTGGCGTGTGCGTCAAGCGTACCAATGATCGGTAGTGAGGTCCCAACCTCTTCTCGGAGAAGCGAGAGCCAATGTCCATCGGCATCTGGATAGCTCTCGCTGACCGTCGCGCCGTGTGGGGCTACGAGCAGTCCATCGAGTTGAGACGTTGCTAAAACAGTCTCGAGCAGCATGCCGACCAATTTTTCAAATTCCGCAGCTGTGATCACTCCTGATGGTAAAGCTCGTGCGACAAATAACGGGACGACTTCTGCCCCCGCAGCCTGCAGTCCAGCAAAGAATCCGCCCACTTCGTGATGAGAGTGTGCCATGGATTCACGAACCGACTCACCTGTGAGCAAGAGGTCATTGCGAAAAGACTCCAATGTGGTCGGTTGTAGGGAGAATGTGTTCGACTCGTGCAGAAGCGCTATCACTCCAATTCGCATTTTCGTTCCCTGTTGCTGCATCATGTTCTTCCGCTACCCTGTCAGTGGTTCATCATGTTCAGGATAACTTACTGGATTAAGAATATGTCAGCAGCACCAGAACAAATTTCTCTTCAGCAAATTCGAGATCACTTATATTCAGCCGTTGTTTGTGACGCTCTTGACAGTCTGGGACTGAAGAACCAGTCCCCCCGGATTCAGCTCAAACAATGGAGCAGTGAAAAAATGGTTGTCGGACGTTGTCGTACGACATTATGGGCTGACATGTTTCATGTGGATCCGGAGCCATACGAACTAGAACTACAGGCTGTCGATAGTTGCCAGCCGGATGATGTGTTTATCGCTGCTACCGGAAGTTCCATGCGTTCGGCGATCTGGGGAGAACTACTAACGACAGCGGTCTTGAATGGAGGATGTGTTGGAGCAATTGTTGATGGAGCTGTGCGAGATGTACGCACAATACGTGAGCTCGACTTCCCATTATTTGCTCTGGGAACATCCCCCTATGACAGTAAAGATCGACAACGTGTTATCGACTGCAACATTCCTGTTGAGATTGGTGGAGTTCTTTTTTCACCAGGTGACATCGTGATCGCGGATATCGACGGGATCGTCGTCATCCCCCAAAATGTTGAAATTGAAGCGTTACAGCGAGCCTGGAAGAAAGTCCATGAAGAAAATGAAGTCCGCAAAGCGATCAAGGATGGAATGAAGGCAACAACTGCATTTGAAACATTTGGTGTACTCTGAAATGAACGTTTTGCGTAGGCTCAAAGGCTACTTCCGACAAACATTCGCGACATGCGAATTATCGTGCTACACGAGTGACAAGACAATAACAGACACAGCCAGACAAAGAATAAACTCTGTGCAGATTTCGGATTGAGATGCTAATATGGTCTTCTTATTGCGACACCTGGAATCAGCCCCATGAAGTATCATTGCCAGTTCAGACTGATGCTGCTGTTTGTTGGCGCCATTCTCATCATTGCTTTCAGTACTGAACTACATGCCTTCGAGTCCACTGATTCTGAGTTCTTTCAGCATAAGATTGAGCCAATTCTCAAGTCCAAATGCCTCGGATGTCATTCGCATGAATCGCGTACCATGGAAGGTGGTTTGACGCTCGACTCGCGAAGTGGTTGGCAGTCTGGCGGGGATCGCGGACCTGCAATACTGCCTGGTGACCCGACTGGTAGCCTGCTGATCAAAGCAATTCAATGGGACGATCCCGACCTCCAGATGCCCCCAGACGAGAGACTCTCACCGGAGGAGGTGGAGCTATTCATAGCCTGGGTACAAAAGGGGGCGGTCGATCTCCGGGAAGCAGTGGTTCCAGCGGAACCACTCACAAATTGGTGGTCTTTGAAGAAACTCACCCGCCCTGAAGTTCCTGGTCAAGGGCATCCAATAGATGCCTTTATCAACAAGCAATTACAAGAACAGGGCTTCAAACCGACCGAGCGTGCGGACCGAGTGACGTTGATTCGTCGCTTGTATACGAACCTGCTTGGTTATCTCCCCAGTCCAGAAGAAGTCACAGCCTTTGTAAAAGATGAAGATCCACTGGCCTACTCAAAACTGATTGATCAATTGTTGAGTTCTCCAGCATACGGTGAGCGATGGGCTCGGCACTGGCTCGATGTGATTCATTTTGCCGATTCACATGGGTGTGAGCACGATGTGAAGCGTGATCACGCCTGGCGGTATCGGGACTATGTCATCAATCGACTTAATGATGACGTCCCCTGGTCGCGGTTTGTCAAAGAGCAACTTGCTCCCGATTTCTTTTATCCTCAAGAGCCTGAATTGAGAGCCGGGCTGGGGTTTATTGCAGCGGGCCCTTTAGAACTCAGTCGGGCCGGAACAGCACCGGTTACGTTTGATTACCTTGACCGTGATGACATTGTCACTCAGACCATGGCGAGTTTCGTCAGTACGACGGCCAATTGTGCCCGCTGCCATACTCACAAATTTGATCCAATCTCTCAGGAAGATTATTACTCGCTCCAAGCTGTATTTGCAGGAGTCGGAAAAGGAGACATTGAATTCGATGCCTCTTTTCAATTGATGCAACGTCGGCAGGAATTGAAACAGCTACTTGCAGCGACTCAGAGTGGTGATCAGGAGATTCTCCTGCAACCGCAGTATGCTGAATTTGTTGATACATGGATTTCTGAGCGTAGATCGCTCACCGTGAAATGGACCCCCCTGGTCGCTGACGTCTTCGTTTCAGCAGGAGGGGCAACACTGATCAAATTGGATGACGGATCGGTCCTGGCCAGCGGCACTGTCCCTGATCAGGAACAGTACACGGTGACATCCCCCGTTGAACTTCAGCGGCTCACCGCTGTGCGACTCGACGTCCTTAATGATGAGTCTCTGCCGCACAATGGACCAGGGCGAGCGGGTAATGGGAATCTCCATCTGACGGAAGCGATGCTACACTGGTTGCCCAGCGGAGCAGGTACCTCAACGCCTCTCAAAATCAAACGCGCCTCAGCGAGTTTTGATCAGGATGGCTGGACCTCAGAGCAAGCGATCGACGGTGATACCCGATCTGGTTGGGCGATTTATCCCAGAGTCAACGAATCCCATCACATTGTATTTGAATTAGAGTCTCCTGTAGAAGTTTCATCCGGTGGCAAGCTGGTTGTCACTCTGAAGCAACTCTACCCACCAAAGCATGTGATTGGTCGCTTTCGGCTTTCGGTGACTGATGCTTCAGAAGGAGCAGCTCAAGTTTTTTCTGCTGCTGTCCGTTCAGGATTAACGAAGACGCAAGAACAGAGAACTCAAGCTGAAGCGGTTGCAATTGCTGCAATGGCATTGAAGGAATATGCGCAGCGAGAGTTAAGCAAACTGCCTGCTCAAGAAATCGTCTATGGTGTCTCATCATCCTGGTCACATGCGAAGAAACTTCCGGCTCCACAATCACCCAAGACTGTGCATTTGCTCCGTCGTGGAGCATTTGATCAACCTGTGAGAGAAGTCGGTCCTGGAACTTTGAGTGCGATTGCATGGTTACCTGGCCGTTTTGATGAGATCGATTCAAGTCAAGAGGCTCAACGGCGGGCAGCTCTGGCTGACTGGATTGCTCATCCAGAGAACCCACTCACCTGGAGAAGCATCGTCAATCGTGTCTGGCACTACCATTTCGGGCGCGGGCTCTGCGACACACCGAACGATTTCGGAAGAATGGGAAGTTCACCATCTCACCCGGAACTCCTGGATTGGCTTGCCATTTGGTTTCGAGACGAGGCCAAAGGTTCGCTCAAAGAGTTACACCGTCTCGTTCTCACAAGTGAAGCCTGGCAACGCTCAAGCACTGGAACGAGCAATCCTCAAGATTCTGAGAACAGACTTCTATGGAGAATGAATCGCCAACGCCTCGATGCTGATGTCTTTCGGGATTCTGTTTTACGAATATCAGGGCGCCTCGATACTCAGATAGGTGGTCCAGGTATCGAGCAGTTCCAGAAGACAAAGGGACCGCAGGCGACACCAGCTTTAGACTACGCGGCTTTTGACTGGAACTCAAAGGCAGCACATCGACGTAGCATCTACCGAGTTGTCTGGCGAGGGATTCCCGATCCATTCATGGAAGCACTCGATTTTCCCGACTTGGGGCTATTGACGCCCAAGCGAGGTTTCTCAGTATCTGCGTTGCAGTCGCTGGCCATGTACAACAATAATTTCGTGTTGCATGGCAGTCAGTGGCTTGCAGACAGCATCGTACAAGAACATCCAGAGTTAGCAGCACAGGTTGACCGGGCAGTGCAACTCACCTGGTCGAGATTGCCATCACATGTGGAAAGAGCACGATTGGTTGCGTACACACGTAAACATGGACTTTCTGCATGCTGTCGCGTCTTGCTGAATAGCAATGAATTCCTCTTTGTAGACTAAATGCAGGTGTACTGGTCCATGAACCGCAGGAATTTTCTTTATCAGGCTGGGGGTGGGTTTGGTGGATTGGCGTTATCGCATCTGCTGGCTTCTGAGTCGCAAACAGTTGCGACTGGTGCTCTCAATGGTGGGCTGCATCATCCTGCGAAAGTGAAACGCGTGATCCAGCTCTTCATGACGGGTGGGGCCAGTCCGATGGATACGTTTGACTACAAACCTGAACTGGAACGACTCCATGGACAAAAGCTGGGACCGGAAGAGAAACCGGAAGGCTTTACGGCCATGCCCGGGGCGTTGATGAAGAGTCCCTTTCAATTTAAGCAATACGGAGAATCAGGTCGCTGGGTCAGCAGTGTCTTTCCACATCAGTCCAAATGGGTTGATGAGATGGCCTTCCTCATGGCGATGTCCTCCAAGACGAATGTCCATGGTCCCGGCACCTATATGATGAATACCGGTTTTCTTCTGCCCGGCTTCCCCTGTCTGGGAGCCTGGACCTCTTACGCGCTGGGGAATCTGACTGACGATCTGCCGACTTTTGTGGTGCTGCCTGATGCGAAAGGCCTGCCATATAATCAACGCGGCCCCTTTTCTTCTGGGTTCCTGCCGGCGGTCTATCAGGGGACAGTCATTAATGCAGGCTCATCAAATCCGGTTCCCGATTTGTTCCCCAATGAACGTTTTCGCTTTACTCACTCAGAAGCTGATCGAGATGGATTAAGTCTTCTGCATTCGATCAATCGAGATCACGCAGCCGAGCGACCAGGAGACTCCCGATTGGAGTCACGAATTCGATCCTACGAACTGGCTGCGCAAATGCAGCTGTCAGCCCCAGAAGCCTTTGACCTGACACAGGAGAACGAAAGCACTCATCGCTCCTATGGACTCGATCAAGCGGTTACGGAGGATTTTGGTCGTCGTTGTCTCTTAGCGCGTCGTTTGTGCGAACGAGGGACGAGATTCGTTCAAGTCTGGAGTGGTCCTCAGGGAGCAACCGAAAACTGGGATAACCATGGCAGCATCCCGAAGGAATTGCCACCCATCGCTGCCAGTGTTGATCAACCAATTGCGGCCCTGATCCAAGACCTCAAACAACGTGGTTTATTTGAGGAGACTCTCCTGATTTGGACCACGGAGTTCGGTCGTACTCCCTTTGCCCAGGGAGGAACGGGTCGTGACCATAATGGGGGAACATTCGTCACCTGGATGGCTGGAGCAGGCATCAAAAAAGGAGCTTCCTACGGGAAGAGCGATGACTGGGGGTATCAGACTTTAGAAGGAAAGACCTACTGTTACGATCTGCATGCGACGATCCTGCACTTACTGGGGATCGATCACGAACGTCTCACCTTTCGCCAGAACGGAATCGATCGGAGGCTAACTGATGTGCATGGTCATGTGGTCAAAGAAATTTTGACCTGATACGATTTTGAGACTCGGGGCCAGCCACATCCGTGCATCAGTAGTCGGTCGAGTCTGCACAAGAAATGTCGTTGAAAGGATTAACTTTGTCCAGGACTGTTCAATGCCATCGCGATTTAATCGTCATTGGAGGAGGAGTCTTGGGGGCATTTTTTGCCTACCATGCGCAGGCGAAAGGGCTCAAAGTCACGTTACTGGAAAAGAACTCATCTCCTCGTGGTGCGACTGTCCGTAATTTCGGTCAGGTAGTCCCCTCTGGGTTAAAGCGTAGCTGGCAGACTTTTGGTCGCCACAGTTTGCAGATCTACAAGTCAATTCAGGCAGACTTTGATATCTCTGTACGCCAATTGGGAACGGTCTATCTTGCTTCTGACGAAGAGGAACTGGCTCTGCTGGAAGAATTGCATGTGCGTAACAACGAAGTTGAATATCCCTCTGAATTGTGGACAGCCCGTCGAGCGCTAGAGCGTTTCCCTCAGTTACGTTCTGAGTATTGTCGTGGAGCCCTCTTTTTTCCGGAAGAAGTCTCCGTCAATCCTCGACAGATGATTCACCGGCTACATGACTATCTCGCTGAGCAGCCAGGTTTTGAGAGCAAGTTCCAAACTCAGGTCAATGGAGTCTTCACGAACGAACAGAACGAAGTAACTGTGACGACTGCGGACGGGCGTGAATTCACGACGAAGAAAGTCATTTTGTGCAGTGGGAGTGAGTTTGAGATTCTCTTTCCAGAATTATTTCGGGAAAGTGATCTTGTAGCGGTCAAGCTACAAATGCTGCGATTGAGTCCCCAAGCCAATGTTCAACTTCCGGGTAATATTCTGACGGGACGCTCGATTCGACGTTATGAAAGTTTCTCGGAATGTCCCTCGTGGGAAGCAATCAAATCTCGCGAAGCAGGGGATACCGTTTGTGATCAATGGGGAATTCACATTCTGTTCAAGCAGGAGGCGGATGGTGGCATTATCCTGGGAGACTCGCACGAATATGCGCCTGCGCGCGAACGAGACAGACTTGGCTTTGATCTACGTAGAGACATCAACGATGCTTTGATTCAAGAAGCCGCAAGGATATTTTCTTTGCCCTCCTGGGAGATTGAATCTGCCTGGAGCGGGATGTACTGTCAAACCAATAACCCCGTCGGAATTTATCTCAATCAAGTCAGCGATAACATCCACATTGTGACTGGTATCGGAGGCAAAGGGATGACCAGCAGTGCAGGATTTGCATTTCAGTATTTGAAAGAGTTGTACAATGATTAAGTTGGTCGTCTTCGATATGGCAGGGACCACCGTGGACGAAGACAACGTGGTGTACAAGACTGTCCGCGCAGCGATCAATGCAGCTGGCTATGACTACTCTCAAGAGCAGGTTCAGGCTGTAGGCGCAGGAAAGGAGAAGTCTCAGGCAATCCGCGATGTCCTTAACATTGATGGGAAGGAGCATCCAGACGATGAAGTGGCTGCGATCTTTTCTGATTTCAAAAATCGACTAGCTGCAGCCTATCAGGACCTCCAGGTACGAGAGCAACCGCAGGCATTAAGTGTCTTTGGTACTTTACGTACAAGAGGAGTGAAGGTGGCACTCAACACGGGTTATGATCGAGCTACAGCGGAGGGCCTCCTGGAAAAACTAGGCTGGGTCGTTGGTCAGCAGATTGATGCTCTCGTGACAGCGAGTGATGTCGAGAGGAACAGACCAGCTCCCGATATGATTCGCAGAGCGATGGAACTGACAGGTGTGGGGGATGCCTCTCAGGTTGCGAAAGTCGGTGATTCTCAAATTGACATCGAGGAGGGGAAGAATGCGGGATGTGGAATAACTTTGGGAGTCACAACTGGTGCGCAAGGAGAAGAGTTGTTGCTGAAATCGGATCCAACTGCTGTCATCAGTGGTTTAAGGTCTTTATTACCGTTGATTGAAGTTCATTAAACTTGATGTGAATTGTTGGCATACCTCATTTCTTAACAGTCACCAATTAGATTTCCAGTTATTCGCCTTCAGTGGAGACCTCGTTGATGACTGAGAAGTCTCATTCAACAAGACAAATGCTGCTTGCTGCATTTGCAGCGTTTGCGACGTACTTTTGTATGTATGCTTTCCGAAAGCCTTTTACAGCGGGGACTTTTGATGCAGGCGAATTATCGGGACTGGAGTTGAAATCGACTCTGGTGATTTCCCAACTGCTAGGTTATATGCTTTCCAAAGTGCTGGGGATCAAAGTTGTTTCTGAATTACCAGCACGTTACCGGGCCATTTCAATAGTCGGGTTGATTTCGGCAGCTGAACTTGCCCTGATCGGTTTTGCATTTGTGCCCCTGCGTTTCAAATTCCTGTTCATGTTTGTGAATGGACTCTCTTTAGGAATGGTCTTCGGATTTGTTCTGGGTTATCTGGAAGGGAGAAAAATCACAGAGGCCCTGTCAGCTGCACTCTGTGCGAGCTTTATCATTTCTTCAGGAGTCGTGAAGTCCGTTGGGAGGTGGCTGATTGAAACTAAAGCAGTCAGTGAATTTCAGATGCCGATGTATACCGGATTCATATTCTTTCTTCCTCTGCTGGTTTCGGTCTTTTTGCTCAGTAAAACTCCACCACCAACAGCAGATGATCGAGAACAGCGAACAGATCGAAGTGTGATGACTCGTCAGGACCGGTTTACTTTTTTTCGGCGATACTGGTCAGGGCTGAGTTTATTGTTATTCGTTTATGTGGCCCTGACCGTGATTCGAACAATCCGAGATGATTTTGCCGTCGAAATCTGGAGTGGAATGGGTGTAACGCAGGAACCATCAATATTCGCTCGTTGTGAAACCGTTGTTGCAGTCGTAGTGACAGCACTCAGTGCACTGGCGATCTGGTTTAAGGACAATGTGGTCGCGATGTGGGCGACAGCGACCATGATGTGCATTGCGTTTGGTGCTGTTGTACTCTCGACATATCTCCAGACGGCAGACTCATTATCACCGTTCCTCTTCATGGTGATTTGCGGTATCGGTCTGTACATCCCCTATGTCGCGTTTCATACAACAGTCTTTGAGCGATTAATCTCTGCCTCAACTTATCCCAGCAATTTAGGATTTTTGATGTACCTGGCCGATGCTCTCGGGTATTTGGGTTATGCAACTGTGTTAGTGCTGAAGTCTTCCAGGGATTCGATAGGAGAAATTCTGCCTTTCTTTAGGACGCTTCTGGTATCCAGTGCAGGGCTCTGCATGGTCGCCCTCATTCTTGCCATGATTTACTTTCAAGGAAAACTGCACGAGGAAAAAACGGTGTCTCTGCGAGATCGGCGTGCATGAGTCCTTACTCGCACTTTGGACTTCTCGCACAGGCTGCGATCTTCAGGAACAGATTGTCTTGAATTTTCTGTCAGTTTATGGAATTAACAAAGATGCGCTGGAGGGTTTTCTTAAAGCTGTTGAGTTTCTAGGGGCAACTAGAACACAATATGCATACGAAAATCTTGTCCGAAACCTATTGCTCTCATGATATGAATTCGGCTTGGCTTAATGTTCTTGAAGGGAAACTTAATCAGGGTGTGATCCGATCAAAGTACGATGAACGATCTCAATGACATTATCAGTCTGTTCGACAGGCGCGGAGATTCTCAATATGGTGGAGAACAAGTCAGTCAACTCGAGCACGCTCTGCAAACCGCACAGCTCGCTGAGCAGTCTGATGCGAGTTGTGCATTGATTTCAGCTGCACTTCTGCACGATGTCGGACATCTGCTGCATCAACTCGCGGACGATGCCCCAGATCACGGAGTTGATGATCATCATCAGAATTCCGGGTGTGTCTATCTGCGTCAAATCTTTCCCAAGTCAGTTGTTGAACCTGTTCGCTTGCATGTAAGTGCCAAACGGTATTTATGCACGGTTGATCCCACCTACTTTCAGCAGTTGAGTGAACCTTCGGTAACAAGTCTGCGTTTACAGGGTGGGGAAATGTCTCCGCAGGAAATCGAACAGTTTGAAGCAAACCGACATTATGCCGCAGCGCTCGACCTGCGCAGATGGGACGATGCAGCCAAGATCCCCAACAAGCTGACTCCATCCATCGACCATTTCGTCAGGTATCTGTCGGATAGTATGATTCAGTCATAAGTCATCATCGAACAGGTGTTCGCCGGAAGCGATTCGAATCAATGAGGCTTCTCTGCGAATTCAATAAGGGACAAGACTTTCCTGAATCAATTCAGCAACTTTGATAACGCTACTTGGAGTCAGAGCAGGGTTGCTTGAAAAAAAGTAAAGCTGATCTTTCTGAAACTGGAGAAAGGAAGGCACAAGTGAATGGATTACCCCTCACCCTGCTCTCTCCGTCGCATCCCGATGGTAATGATTGCCCAGAAACAGGCGGGGGAGATGGAACGAGTTGCCCGACTTGTTCAGAGCTCCTATGTCATTGCAGAATTGACATGACTCACTTGACTCTATAACGAATAGGCATGTCGCCATCAAAGAGTCTGAAGAACCGTAATGTGCGCTTAACTTGAACTTACATGACGAGCGGACTGTCACAGTTGACAATTAGGGTCGAGTGATTGAGTGATAGCGACAACGGAGTGGTCAATCGCAGTACCAACCCTAAATTGAAAGCCTGGCAAGGCACCAGGGCCTGTGGTCTCTTCACCAAATGGTGTGACAGGCGAAGCTGGCAGGGATGAATCAGGGTTGTGGCTGTTCAACTCCCCCAGTCGAGACGATAAACACCTTCGTTTTCAAACCCCACGATGGCCCATTCACCTAATGGATCACAGATAAGATCAACGATTTTGTCCTCGATCTTGGTAGACCAGAGGAGTTCTCCGTCGGCATCAAGCCAGATCAGGTTGCCTTCAACAGTTCCTGCGATGAGGCGTTGGGGTTCGTAGCTGACAGCGATGGAATTGACAGTGCCATCGAGAACATATGAGCCAACGGAAGCGCCGTCACCATCGAAAGCTTCGATGCCATGGCCGAAGCTGGCGAGGTAGACCAGGTCTCCATCGCCCGTGATTTCTAGCCCACCGACGTTTGACCAATTCTTCTCTTGCCAGATCTGAGCCCCAGCCAGGTTGTAGCAGCAGATCATTCCATGTTCCGCGGCACCAAAGACAATCGGCTCACTGGGGCAAAACTTCAAGAACGAAATAGGACGGATCGTTTCGAACTGAGCAATACGACGTTTGCGTTCGTTGTAAAAGATGTTGCGGCCATCGGAGAGACTGATTGCTGTGTGGTGCCCAAATGGGGCAATCGCGATTGCCAATGCAACTTCGGGTAATTGGACCGAATGCAGAAGCTTCAAATCTCGGTCGATGCGGACGAGTGTCTCTTCCCCGGCGATGGCAGCACCAAAACGACCATCGTCACTCCAGGCGAGATCAAAGATTGAATCAGGCACGCGGTTGATGGATGCGATTTGACCATGACGATCAATCCGGGAAATGGTGCCAGATTCGTCCGTTAAAAAAAGGTCACCGCTCTCTCTGGCATAAGAGAGTGCGGTGAGTGCTCCATCGGTTCCAATGCGCCATTTCAGTTTGGGGCCCAGACCTTTCCCCTTTAACCATTTGGGTTCATTCTTTTGGGAAGAGTCTTGCTGGTCTGCCATCGGCCATCACATTCGTCGATATTACTTTTGAAAGTGTAGCAATGTTTTACGAAATGTGAGTTCCTGTATCCATCATTCGCGGCGGACTGATCTATCTTTGTGTGTATTCAGGGGCGGTCATTAACCGCAGTGCCGCCTGTAGGTCAGGATCGTTCGGAATGTCGATGTCACCGAGTGGTCGGTTCTCTGGACCTTTTTCCACGAGGATGTCAGGTTCGAGTCCCACCTTACCCCAGGTATTTCCATTCGGTGAGTAAAATTTGGCTGTCGTCAGTCGGATGCTTGTTCCAAACCTGGCTTCGAAGATGGTTTGCACACTCCATTTTCCGAATGAGGTCCGGCCAACGATCTTGCCTCGTTGATGGTCACGCATCGCTCCTGCGACTATCTCACTGGCACTGGCGCTGTTCTCATCAATGAGCAGGACAACAGGAATGTCCCATGTCCCAGTTTGATGAGCCACATGTGTTGAGGTTTGGTCCGCTGCGCGTCCTTTTGTCGAAACGATGACGCCTCGTGGAATAAAACGGTCCACAACTTCAATCGCTGCATCGAGGAGTCCACCTGGGTTCTCTCGCAAATCCCAGATCAGAGCCCGCATCCCTTGTTGTTGCAGCGAGCGGAGTGCCTCGTCGAGTTCCCGAACAGTGTTCTGCTGGAAGCCGGTCATTTGGATGTAACCGATGCCATTCTGTGAATCAATGATCCTCGCGACGGTAATGCTGTCTACTTTCACTGCCCGACGAACACATCGCACCGTAAACGGTGTTTCCTGTTTTCTTTGAATCGTCAGATTGACCGTCGAACCTGCTGGTCCAGTCAGCTTTCCAGCAGCTTCTTCTGTTGTCTGAAAGCGACAATCGTCGCCTTCTATCGCTGTGATGAAGTCACCTCGTTTCAACCCAGCTTCGGCAGCTGGGCTATTGGGGATGATCTGTTGCAGTCCCATGCCTGCTCCCAGTTCTCCTTCCATGACAATCCCAATCCCGACGAATTCCCCTTTGATATTCCCATTGAGATCCTGACGTCGTGTGGGAGTCAGTACATTGCTGTAGTCATCCAGGCAATTGCAGGCACCAAAGGTGTACTCCATGATGATGGGGCCTGGCTCCAGTCCGATTTCTTCCATGCACAAATCACAAACCTCACCAACAATCTGCTGGGCAGCGAAGCGATGAGCAATCGGTTTGTTCCAATACCGCTTGTAGAGAATCTCTCTGACCGCATTAATTCGTTCGGTCGATGCCCCGAAGAGGTTCTCTTCGAGAAACTTCTCGTTACCGAGAGCAAGCCACAGACTTTCTGTTCCGTGAGCGACGATTGTGCCGACATCCAATCGATCTACGAAGTAGCCCTGTATATTGGTGACGACATCATCAAACAGGCTGAGTGCCGCCTCACGCGCCATTGGCTTGAGTGAGACCTTGAAACTTTCATCCAGGTAGCGACGGTCAATGGCATATTGGATACGTGAGCGTCTGAGTCCCAGCTGTAAGTTCTGGTCACCTTTCCACTTCTTGAGAGCAGACTTGTAAGTCTGGATTGCCTCCCGCCAGTTGCGTTGTTGCTCGTAACTGATTCCCGTTTGCAGAGCCGTTTGCGGATCAGTCAGACTGTTCGCTTCCTGGGCAACCGCAGTAGCACAAAAAACGAAGAACAGCGTCAGGCAGGTGAAAAGTCGGTGTTGTAATGCACGTTGGTGCATGACGATGGATGAACCCATCGTGTCCCCCTTTATGTCTGGTTCACATACGGAGTATGTGTACGCATCAATCTGGACAGCATCCCTGCATCGCGACAGCGGTCCCGCACTGCTGCCGACTGCTTCGCCCCAACACTAGTCCACGATGCGAAAGAGGGCAAAAATGTTCAAGCCTGGAACTTTAATCAAAGAGAGAAGAAATGATTTTGAGACAAGAGATGTGTCGGTTTTTGCCATCTCGTAAAAATTGAGGTTCGTGCGACTCAGGTAATTCAGATAATTACTAGTGGTTTTGCGACAACTGCAATGGTTAGAATCAGTACAATGTAGTCTGCAAACTCACCTGAGAATCGGTGCAAATCCTACGACCACTACTTATCGGGCCTGTCATCATGTTTGTGCAGAACATTCAGAGACGCAGAAGTGTAACTCTTGTAATAAGCTTGAGTCTCATCCCAGTTGCAACGATCTTAACACTCTGTTTTCTTCTTTTCGCACTTGGTTGCAATCGGGGGACATCGCCTGCGGTTGATGACGCTGGCGAGACTGAGATCACCGATCATGTGAAGACTCATACTCTCACTGCTACTTCAGCTGAAGTGCAAGTTGAGGCTGAATGGCAAAAGAGTGTTCTCCCACCGGGATATCACCTTCGGCTAAATCTGAAACTTGATGGTGATTTCAAAGACCCCATCGTCGGCTTTCAGAATCTGCGATTAAGGAAAGCACTGATCAATCATTCTGCGGCTCAGCTCTTTCCTGTTTCAAACATGGAACAACTCGTCCGCGGAGTCTGGCAATTTCGTCATTACAATGGGCGAGGAACGATGCCACCTGAGAAATGCATTCTTCCCGTGGAATTGAGAGTGCCAGAGTGTGTCGAACATCATTCCGATCCGTTGCTACTCAACAGATTTCAAGGCGAAGTTGATGTCATTACAACCGGAGAACTGACAACTCATACCATTCAAGATCTCAAACAATGGATGCAGGCTGAATTGCCCAATGAGGAAAGGCCACTCCGCCACGTCAGCAAAGCAATCTTACCATCAGTTGCTGAAGATGACTTTCCAGACTGGGCACTCACCTTCAACGATAAGGTCCTCGTTACAGATGCTCATGCCGTTCATGAAGATCATGCAGTTTCTAGCCGGCATCATCCATTTGTTGATGTTTTACCGGATGGTCGGTCGAGAGTCGTTCTTTTTGCTCACCGCAAACCACTCCCAGATGACCTTGGACTTTCACTTGAGATTGCTTCTGATTTGGAAACAACAACGCTCGAATTCGACATAGCAAATGTACCGTTGCATGAGCGTGATTCTGGGCGATATGAAAAACGTAGAGTCCCGACGTCTTCCACTACGAATGCATTTTCTTTTGCAGAGTCGCTGCATGTGAAACTGCGGATGAATGATCCCCAAAACCCTTACGAACCACTCATTGACGTTGGAGAAAACAGTAGATTGGAAACTGTCATTCTGGAGGTCTGGGGACCAGCAGCGATTGATGTCATCGCTATTAAAGACCTCAACGGCAAAGCAACTCTGGGAAATGAAACTCAACTTGAGTTACTGCAACTTAAACAGTTTCCAGGCCTCAATGCAGAGGCGAAGTATTGGCTTTATGACGCGTTCCTCCCTCGTGACTGGGTTGGAGCGGAAGGAGTCTCCCTTCCGCTGCATTATGTGCGAGCGATGCAACAAGACGAGCCTCTTCAAGCGATTGCAGGTAAATTGACACTGATGGCTGCCAGGGAAGTTGAGTATCTCTATATTGACGACGCGCTGCAGTTCATTGGTGAGAAGATACAGCATCCGCTGCTCAAAGCAGGGCAGATCGAACTCAAACCGATCCGTGCCGGCAATGGGATCACGATCACTGTCGATGAAGAACCGGGACTCATCGTTTCAGAAATGGAAGCAGTCGATGAGAGCGGGGGCACATCACAGACGATCTACAGCAGTCGTCAGCAATTCGGGAATAAGATCAATTTCGGATTCTATGGTGGTAAAGGCCCCGACGAGAAATTACCGCTCAGAATACGACTGAATCGAGGCATTCGCGAAATCCCAATTCAATTTGAATTTGATAGACTTGGAGCGGTCTTCACGATGTAGCTCGTCAAACAATTTCTACTGACTGTGGTTTACAATCATCATAAGCCACAGCCTCAGTTCTCTTGCTGCTAGATGCGGATGGAGGCGAAAAACGGTATCGTCATTGAATTGCAATCCATGTCTACTACTTGCTGACTCTAATTGATACCAGAGAATCTCTATGTTCAGTAAATTCCTTTTGCTTGGTTACCTGACCATCTTCTCGCACGCCATTCAACTGCAAGCTGTGGGAGAAGAAGTCGCTCGGCCGAACTTCGTCTTCATCATTGCGGATGACTGTACGTTTCGGGACATCGGGTGCTATGGCGGTCAGGCGAAGACACCTCACATCGATAAGTTGGCAACCGAGGGGATGCAGTTCACTCGCTGCTTTCAGACAGCACCGATGTGTTCACCGACGCGGCATAACATCTACACCGGTCAGTATCCGGTCAAAACTGGGGCCTATCCAAACCACACACAGACCTATCGGCATGTGAAGAATATTACCCACTATCTGCCTGAGTTGGGGTACCGGGTTGCTCTCTCCGGGAAAACTCATATTGGCCCCAGAGATCTGTTCCAGTTTGAGTACAGTACAGACAAGAACAATCCTGACTTGAAAGCCATTAATGAACTCTTCGCCAGTTGTGCAGATGGCAAAACACCCTTCTGCCTGTTTGCCTGCTCGAATGAACCGCATTCACCCTGGAACAAGGGCGATGCCTCTGTCTATCCCCCAAGTGAAGTTCAGCTACCACCGTATCTGGCAGACACTCCAGTCGTACGTGAAGCCTTCAGCCGCTACCTGGCCGAAATTTCGTACTACGACCAACAGGTGGGTGATATCTTGAAATTACTCGATGAACATGAGCTACGCGAGAACACGCTGGTGATGGTCGTCTCTGAACAGGGGAACTCGTTCCCCTTTGCGAAATGGACCTGTTACGACAGTGGTTTGCAGTCAGCAATGATTGTCCGCTGGCCCGGCAAAGTGAAGGCAGGAGCAGTCACGAACGCAATGGTCGATTACACCGATGTGACTCCCACCTTTGTGGCAGCAGCCGGTGGAGAGATCGCCAAAGAGGTCGAAGGAGAGAGTCTGCTGCCGATTTTGTTCGGCGAGAAAGAGCAGGGGCAACCTTTCGTCTATGGCGTCATGACGACCAAAGGAATCATCAACGGCACTCCTGCGTATCCCATTCGCTCGATTCGCTCAGACAAATATAAACTGATCTGGAATCTGAATCACGAGGCCAAGTTCACGAACGCTTGTACAAAATCGAAGGAGTTCCAATCGATGGTCGCAGCTGCGGAAGCAGGGGTTGAACGGGCGAAGTTACTTGTGCAGAGATACCAGCATCGCCCTCGTCTGGAGTTCTACGATGTTGTCAACGATCCGCTGGAGATGAGGAACCTCGCTCATGATTCAAAGTATCAAGCAGAGATCCACCGACTGGAAGAGAAATTAGAAGAGTGGATGAAATCACAAGGTGATCAGGGTATGGAAACAGAACAGGCAGCCAACTCTCACGTGCAGAAGAAACGTCAGCAGGGCAAGAAAGCGAAATAGAATAAGAATTGATTCAGTTTTTCTGGATGAGCAACATCCCCGCAATCAGCAATGCCGCACCTGCTATTTTGGTCAGGCTGATGGGGTTCTTATCGATCCCCATCAGACCCCAGTGGTCAATCAACATCGACATCAGCAACTGGCCACAGATCGTGGCAGCGATGAAGTTTGCCGTTCCGATCTTGGGCACGATCGTCAACGCAGAGGTGACATAAACGGCCCCCAAGAGACCTCCAATGTAAAGGTACCAAGGGGTTTGTATTCCGCTGGGAATCTTAGGAAGGCCCCGCGACCAGAAGAGCAATATGATTCCCAGTGCAATGGTTCCTCCCGTAAAGGAGACGACAGCAGCGAGTACCGGATTCTCGGTCAGTTTGCCCAGTCGTGAATTTATAATCGCCTGAAAAGGGATCACAAAGGCAGACATTCCGGCGATGAGCAACAGAGTCGGTTTGTTTAGCATGTCGCTTTATTCAACAGGACAGCGTGTCTTCGCGAAGCATGAGTGTTGGAAGTCTGCTCAATAGAAAGCTATTGCCAAATTGAGTCTTCAAAGGATGCTTGACGAGCTTCTCGCTGATCAACAGTTTTTGCCAGGGCCGTTCGTCTCTCTCGAATTGTTTCGAGAGTAGCGGTGTAGCATTTTTTGTGTTCGCATTTCAGAGCATCGAGAATCAGCTTCTCTGCCTGATCGTATTGCTGCCTGCGAGCCGCAGCGATAGAGAGATTATGAAGGGCAGCATGGTTTTCAGGGTTCTCGTAAACAGCGTCTCTCCAGGCAGCTTCTGCGGCATCCCAGTCCCCTTTGGCGACCTGTTTCAAACCTTCTTTCACTTGGCCTGACCCCTTGGTCCAAAAGTCACAGGATGCCAATTGTAACTCGCAACTTGTTTGGTGAGGTGCCAGCATCTGGACGACTTCATCTAAACAGTTTGATAACAGCATTTCGAGGACCCGGCCTTTTTCAGGAAGGCTATTCTCTCCCTGCCTCATCTCACCCCGGAAGTGTTTCGATATTTGCTTGGAAGCCAGAATCTCACCCGTGTTCGTTGCAACGAGACGGTAAGCGAGGGTAACGCTGCCTTCACGATAAATCGTATTCCTTAGCTCTAAGCTCAATCCATTTTCAGACTGGGCCTGTTTTCCATGCCCTTCCGCAAAAGAGATCACATCGAGGTCTGTTGATTCAAGGATTTGATCTTCACAGCGATATTCGATGACGCTTCCGAGGATCAATGCATCCACGTTAGCGGCCTGAGCTGCTGACAGGGCAGACTGAAGATCGTTTTCTTCGGCATAATTTGCCGGTTGAATAGGTGAGATAAACTCAGAATGGTCAACGAGCGTATAAAAATCGTTGTCCCAGAGTCGAGCGGAGAGAGCCATCGAGACTTCGCTCCCTTTGACTCCCGAAAAATCCATGACGGAGATACGATTGATTCCCGTAGCATCAATCTGAGCAGGTTCCCAGCAGGCAACTTCCGCCGTTTGAGCGCAGCCAATCAACAGAGGCAAGATGAGTAAAAAAGTGAGCAGACGCATCCACAGAAGCCAGTTGAAAAGAGTGCAATGATCGATTGGAACTCGGTTGTTCTTATATGCAAGGTTTTCGGCAGACTGCAATCTGTTTTATGATGCAAAGTTCCTTGATCGATTTCGAATTGAACTAAGAATGAATGTACCTGCTCACGAAAAACGCCCCGAAATCAATCGTAACCTGGTTGCAGTGATTACCTTGGTCTGTCTTTGTGCAGGTGCTTATATTGGATTGACTCAGCCTGATGACCAGTTTTGGGCAGGCAGTTTTGTCAGAGTTGGTCTTCTGATGGGAGCGTTTTGGTATGCTGCTCCGACGAAAGGACGTGCTGCGGCCTGGGCGAATGTTTCTCCCTGGTGGATTGTCGGGGTTGCAGGACTCTTATTGCTAATCGTGCGAAGACCCAGGGTGCTGATCCCGTTTGGAATCGCAATCATTGTATTGGGAATCGTTATCCCCAAAGTAATGGGAGCAGGACGCAAATAACGGAAGTGAAAGGGCTTATGGTAGACCTCGCTCTAGTTCGCTGTCCGTTTCAGCTGGCTAGTATCGAACTCCTCAATTTCCAGTAAGCGGACTTTCATATCTAGCCCTTGCGGAGCAGAAAAGCCTCCCAGATGTCCTCCTGAGCCAATGACTCGATGGCAAGGGACGAGTAACGGGACCTTGTTGCAGGCCATTTGATTGCCGACAGCCCGAGCTGCTTTCGCAGAACCAGCCCGTCTGGCGAGTTCACCGTAGGTGACTGTTTGACCGTAGCCAACTTTTCTGAGTTGCTGCACGACACGTTGTTGAAAAGGGGTTTGGCGACCAGCAGCGATCGGGATTTCCGTCAGATCAACATTTTCTCCCGCTGCATAAGCAACCAGCAGATTCTGCGCTTGTGGCCACCAATCTGGTAATTCGTCAGTGGGTGTCACAGAAGAGAGTTGCAGTTTCTGCAGAACTTCTTTTTTTGATTTGTGTCCAAAATGGAGCCGTTCAATGCCTGTCGGATTCAGCACGACGCCAAACCAGCCTAATTCCGTGGGGAACGTGACTGAGCAGGTTGATTGGATCGTTGCCGTCATCTCCTGAACTCCTCTTTGATTTACGAATAATACAGATTGTTTTCACCTAAGTCGGTGAAGTCAATCTACTGAAGGAATCCAGCACTTTGACCAAGCTTTAACGAGGGAGTAAGATGAGGGAGAAGGTTGATCTTTCCCATCTGAATCCAAACTTGAAGAGACGTTTCTGTCTTTGCGAGAGAAGGAGCCCATATGAATATCTACGATTCTCTGGCTGACGATTATTTCGTGAACATGAATCTGTTCACCGAAATGCCTCTCCCTTCGCAGCGAGAAACAGTACTTGATTTTTTCGGACGTTTTCAGAAGTCATATCCGACGATGCGCAATTTTTATAGTCGCGATAATGGTGCGTTCGTTCTGGAAGAAGATAAGGATCAGAACCAGTACCGGCTCATTACAATTGAGCAGAGAAGAATTTGCAGCAGTGTGGTGAACCCGACTACAATTGACGATGCGATCCCGCAACACCATCTTGCTTTGGATATTGCACCGTACATGCTCTCAGTCAGTCCGCTTGATTGCGAGGCGCTCGATTTCATGATTGGCTTCGATTTCATCTACCGCGGAAACCACGATGAACTCGTTGCAGAAGCGCTAGGCATGGGACCGGCATTCGATGGTCTTTTGTCGATCGATGGAGCGCGACCGCTGAACTTTGAACCATCCTTGTCAATGGCCTTAACAGATGACTGTCGACGGCAGGCAAGGTTGTTGATTGAGACACGTACCAATGCCTATCAAGTGCGGCGCGACGACTATCCCGAAGAAGCGATCAGCGTCTACTTCAAGATCCTGCAATATGGCAGCCTGCCGCATGATGGCAGCTTCATCGAGACTCTCAACGAGTTGAGAAGTGACTGCGAACGCTTGCTCGAAACTCATATCATCGAGCAGGTCTTAAGACCTTTGCAGCAAACGATTTCTCGCAAAGGAAATTAGAGCAGTTTGCTCTACCATGTGTCCGCGTTGGGCGTCTCTCAGCACAACGAAAACGCCAATCCACGAGACCGATCGCATCAGTGTTCCACAATTCACTATCGTTTGCCGGACACTTCAAGTGTCCGGCAATAGGTCCCAATGACGGATGTGACTTACATGTGAATTACACGCTTCTGAACAGCGAGAGCGGCCTCTTTCACCGTTTCGCTGAGTGTTGGGTGAGCGTGACAGGTGCGGGCGATGTCTTCGCTACTCGCTCCATATTCAATGGCAGCAACACATTCAGCGATCAACTCACCTGCTTGAGCACCGATCATATGCACGCCCAGGACTCGATCAGTATTCGCGTCCGCCAGGATTTTGACCTTTCCATCTGTATGACCACTTGCCTGGGCACGGCCATTGGCCATGTAAGGAAAGACCCCCTTGTTGTATTTGACTCCGGCCTCCTGAAGTTCATCTTCGGTTTTACCGACAGTTGCAATTTCAGGATCGGTATAAACAACACCTGGAATGGCGGAATAGTTGACGTGACCATAGCCTGAATAGAGTTGCTCAACGCAAGCAATTCCTTCTTCCTCAGCCTTGTGAGCCAGCATCGCTCCACCGATTAAATCTCCAATGGCATAAACGCCTTGAGCTGATGTTTGATAATGAGCGTCGACGGTCACAAAACCTCGCTGATCGACAGCGACCCCTGCTGCCTCCAGATTAAGACCTTCTGTGTTAGGACGTCGTCCGACCGCCATGAGTACTTTGTCACAACGAATCGCATCCTGCCCTTCGACGAGAACGTCAGTCGTTTTACGATTCGTTTTGACGCCTGTCACCTTGGCACCCAGCTGGAATGTCAGTCCCTGCCTCTTGAAGATCTTCAGAGCTTCTTTGGCAATTTCTGAATCAGTCCCGGGCAGGATACGGTCCAGATATTCCAGTACCGTGACTTGTGCACCAAGTCGGCGCCAGACTGTTCCAAGCTCCAGACCAATCACACCTCCACCGATCACGACCAGATGTTTAGGAACCTCAGAATACTTCAATGCATCAGTACTGCTGCCGACATACTCGCCATCGATCTCAATCCCAGGCAGAGAAGAAGGCATACTCCCTGTCGCTAGCAGGATCTTCTCTGCCGAGACGGTGTTCTCACCTTCTTTTGATTTGATGACGACCTTTCCATCGCCAGCGAGCTGTCCTAAACCCTTCAAGCTTTCAATCTTGTTCTTCTTCATTAAGCCTTCGATCCCCCGAGCAAGGTTATCAACCACCCCTTGCTTGTGGTCCAGCATTGTCGGCAAATCAAGCTGAACCTTCGAAAGATTAATACCGCGGCTCTTCAGCCCTCCATTCGCCTGCTCAAAGAGATGGGACGACTCCAGAAGTGCCTTACTCGGGATGCAACCGACCCGCAGACAAGTGCCACCCAACTGTTTTTCCTTTTCGACGATCGCCACTTTTTGACCGAGTTGTGCCGCCCGGATCGCTGCCACATATCCTCCAGGACCAGCCCCGATAACGATCAAATCAAAATCAGCCATTGCTTCTACCATGTTCTCGATGACAAAAACTCAGAGTCTCTTCCCTAAAGATACTCATAAGTAGTGATTCACTTTAAGGCTGCCGGAGTCAGGATTTGGGATTTAGATCCTCTTTGCTTCATGATCATTGGGAAAGGGATCCACCCTTGCCACTCATCCCTAGGCCAGCGGCCTCAATTCACCTTCCATTGTTAATGGCAGACAGACGGGCCGCCCCAGCTCAGTCTCTTTGATATATGTTTCTAGTGTCATCCGCCAGAAAACGGCACTCAGAATTCAATACGAATTATGAAAATCTAACTTCTTTATGTTCAAAGCGACCTGCTGTTACTGATGAAATCGTCAAACTGACAACACGAAATCAAAGTGATGGCAAAAATGTAGAGCTATCCGTGGCATCTGAAATGTCGCAACTGATTATCAGCAAATAGCTTATGTAGCAAGCTGCACTTTCTGCCGATGATTGGCACTCCTCTCGCATTCTAATAGTGCATCTTCGCTAAGTCACTTTGAATAACGATCAGGAGTAGGATCATGGTTAGCAAACTTTCCGTTCTGAGCAGCATGGTCGCTGTCGTGGCCATGCTTGGTTCCACTGCGAATGCGGATATCTATACCTCACGTTACCGTCACTTGGATGACCTTGCATTCTCTGCCTTCGTAGATGCCAGAGACCTGCGGTGGGTGATCCATGATCACTTCATCGACTCGAGAGATTACCAACACCTGATGAATGATGCAGATGATATCGTTGCAGCCCTGCAGGATGTGCAGGTGGCCATTTACCGAGAACGACCTGATGCAGTCATTCTTCGCGAGATTTGCCAGGCACAAAAGCAAGTTGCGAACTTGTCGAGTCATCTCAATGGTTGCGATTTCGCTCGTGCCTCACAAAGCCGGTTCCGCCCGGCCTACCAGGGACGTGGCTACTCGTTCATGCCAGAGACCCGACATGCTGGCCGAATTCATGTCCATACTGCCT